CGGGCCCCGCCGGGCGGTGGGCGCTGGAGTTTCTCCAGGATCTGGGGTCGCCTCTCCTGCAGGCGCGGGCGAGCCCCGGGGTCCCAGCGCCAGGTCTCTCCTCAGGGTGTAGACTGTGCAAAGAAAATAAGTTTTTCTGTATTTCTGATTCTTTGTAACTCTTACTGTTATTGGCCTCTAAAATGTAATTCACATTCTGAATTCAGGTTAAACTTACCTTTTTTTTTTTTTTAATTGCATTTGTTCATCTGCATTGTGACCTATGACCCCTTTCCTCCCTCCAACTCTACCCCTCAACTGGGCGCTTTTCTGTCTCCTCCCTGATTTGGTCTACAGCACTGAATTGCTGCTTGCTGCTGTAGGAACTAGGGAATAAACGTGACAGCCAGGCCCTGACGCAAGAGCCGGAAAAGCCAGGTCGACCTGTGAACCACGAAGCAAAACCTCCCCGAAACCTCAAGACGAAGTTTCAAGCAGAATCGTGGTAAGAGTGTGGGAAAGGTGTCAGAAGGGAAGGTGGGGAGCATCCGAGGCACAGAGAGGGCCTGAGGCCTGGCGGAGATGAGATGGGGGTAGGAGATGAGGGAGGAAGGACCTAACTAGACCAGGGCTGTCCGGTAGAAATAGAATGGGAGCCCGTATGCTCATTCTGAAATTTTTAGTAACCATATTTTAAAAAGCATTTTAAAGGGGTACATTACTTTTCATAATGTTACTTAACGTGAAATATCCAAAGTTTGATCATTTCAGCATGTAATAAGACATCTTACATTCTTTTTACCATGCTAAGTCTTTGTGATCCAGTGTTTTTCTTACTTTGACATCATAAGTCAATTCAGACTACCACTGACTAGCACTCAATAGCTACATGTGGATGGAGGTCCACCTTGAAGAGCACAGGTCTAGGTGTTGCAAGTCTTGAAGAGCGGTGAAGAGAAACGGAAGGATTGTATTCTATTTGCACTTTAGAAAGACAGTGCTGACCTCAGTTGGAAAACACAGTTCCAAGCAGGAGTAAGTGGAAGCAGAGGAGCCAGAGATAAGGTTTTTGCATGTGGCTGGTGAGACTGCAAATGGGTCAGTCTCTATGGCAAGGAATTTGGCAGTACTATCAGAATTACAACTGCATACATTTTATGGTTCTGCAGTGTCCCTTCTAGAAGTTTGTCCCATGGATAATTGATATATTAGCCCCTGTGTGAAGTGACCTATGTACAAAGTTGTTCTTTATAGCCTTGCTTGCAATAGCAAAAGATTGGGAACTCAAATGTTCATAAGTAGGAGGGCTAGCTACTGAACAACTTAGAGTATACAATGAGCAGTGAAAAAAGTGAGGATGTGACCAGGTGCTGTGACTCAGCCTGTAAACCCAGCACTTTGGGAGGCAGAGGCGAGAGGATTGCCTGAGTCCGCGGGTTTGAGACCAGTCTGGGCAACTTGGTGAGACCCCATCTCTACAAGAAATCACAAAATTAGTTGGGTGTGGTGGCGTGCACCTGTGGTTCCAGCTACTTGGAAGGTTAAGGCAGAAGGATCGCCTAAGCCCAGCAGGTCAAGGCTGTGGTGGCTGTGAGCGTGCCACTGCATTCCAACCTGGGTAACAGAGTGAGATTCCGACTCAAAATATCTATATATGCTGGGCTTGGTGGCTCAGCCTGTAATCCCGCGCCTTTGGGAGACTGAGGTGAGTGGATTGCCTGAGACTGCGGGTTTGACACCCGCCTGGGCAGCGAAGCCTCATCTCTATAATAAATCAAAAAAATCAGCCGGGCGTGGTAGCGCGCACCTGTAATTCCGGCTACTTGGA